AGTCGCCATGGGGACTCCTTTCTTTCTAGTTTTTATTTTATTTTACCACTTGAATTCTTTCCACTTCACTTCACATCTTCATTCTTATCGTAATCGTACTCCTAATTTTCAAAATTTTTAGACAACACTTGACATTCTTGTTATAGAACAATCTTTAATATTTTTGTAATTTATCCACTTCAACTCTACCCCTTATAACTTTTATCACATATATACGTACATTGACTGAGCAATTATTTAGTGCCACTTAATAACCTTTTTCTGTAATATAAATACGACTGTACAGCTTGAAAATGAAGTCGTTGAAAAGAAATTTCTTCGCTGAACAAAAACTGTTTTTACTTATAATATGGAATGTACATGAAAATTTACACATATCGGTTGATTTCCTAAATAAACGATCTGTTGCCTGGCTTTTGTCTTCTGCCATTGCACTACCAGAAGACACAACTCACGCAGTGAACGTTTCTGTGGATTATATCAATAATTTGAAGCAGTAAACTTTAACTTTATCACCAAGTAACCACTAATTTACATAACTAAGTAACTGAATTTTTTATAATATACCGTTACGATATTATTTCATTCTAATACTTGTCGCATCACCGAGCTCTCCATGAAGTCCCCTACACACCTCCTACTCTGTTTATAAATCTACATGCACTTGTGGGTAGCAAGTGTGTTGCAAAGATAGAAACAAAGACTTCAGTCTGGTTTTCTGAACACAGTCCAAGAAACCTCCGCCTAAATAATAAGTGAACAAATAACTTTATTCTCAACGAATTGTTTATATAGTGTACCGATTTCTCAGAGGAATTTATTGGATAACATTTCCTCTTCACCCGGCATCTTCAAGTAAAATGATAATCTATAGTATTTCACATGACATAGTGCTTTTAGACCTGAAGCACAAATTATTCCCTTTATGATATTTTTGCTTCGTTTCCGCGAAATGTGCACTGGTATTTTGAAATCCAATTAAAAACGGAGTGGGTACATTTCTCGACTCGAGGATATAATTGAATAGTAAGATAGTAAAAATTACAGAAAATATGAGGCACTGTTTTAGGTGGTTCAGTGATTCAAACAGGTTGCCAAGTTATTTACAAATACACGATAACAACACATCTCATGAATCGGGGACATTTCACCAAGATCTCTATATCTTTCGAAATATTAAATATGCAAATGACACCAAATTTTCCATGATTTGCTAAACCAATTGTAATTAGATGTTTCCAGCTAAATTTCTGCATACAGAAAGCGACTGAACATCCTCTCTTATTCGCTTAATATCAATAATTTTGATTGCACTAACTGCATAATCATCCCCACTGAAGATTTCAGCTCACTCAGCTAATTTCTGTCTCATGAACTTTAATTTTCCGAAGTGTTCATGTTATGTAACAATCTAGTAGCGTTTACCATTTCTGTCCTACGCCTTCGTATCCTTTTTGGCTTTCTACCACGCAATGGTGACTTAAACTGTAAATTGTGACGCTTGTGTTTTTGAAGGCTTAATTTCTAACAGTACCCGTTTTCAGGAATTCATCATGAGCTGACATCAGCTATACAACCATGGGAAAACCATCAGGGAGTACTGGACAGCCGTTTCGTCCTAGTTTGAGACTCTTCATCAGTACGCAAATACCGCCAGGTTTCGAACCCAGAACCTTCTGGTTACAAGGCTAGCAAGCTCGTAGACCATTAAGCCAATGGGACCCGATGCAATGGCCAGCTCATGAGATGCCAACTTTTGCCAGCAGGTTCCGTGTGAAGAGAAATACTCGCCGAAGACATTGGTTAGTGATCACGGGATATTGTGAAATGGCAGAAGCTGGAACTCACGGGCTGGCCACTGGATCAGGTTCCAGTGGCTTAATGGTCTACGGGCTCGCTAGCCGCGTAACCAGAAGGTCCTGGGTTCGAAACCTGGCTGTATTTGCGTACTGCTGGAGAGTCCCAAACTAGAACTAAACAGCTATCCAATACTCCTAGGTTTCCCAATCGTTCTCTAACTGATGTCAGCTCATGATGAAATACTGTAACCACTCAGTCAAATCCCTACAAGCCAATACTTGAACAGTACTTATTGTTATTCAACGATAAGACTGACTAGCCATTGTTCGGATTGTTACTCTCTTACTAACCACAATCTATCCATAATGTTTATTTACGTTTTACTCTCAGTAAATTTATTTTATCGATACTTATGTAACAACAGAAGACAAGGGCCAGGCAACAGATCGTTTATTACGGAAATCAGCACGTATTTATATATATTTCATGCACATTATTATAGCTTATTCAAGCAGACAAAGACAGTCTTCTGATTGGTTGTTTCTTGCTCAAGGTTATTCTGTACTGCTTGTGACTGGTTTCTCAGAAAGTTAAGCCATATATCTGTGAATCGTATTTGCCCAAGTTAAGTCTGCTGTGATTGGTTGTTGAATCAGCCTTGTCCATATTTTCTCACGGCCAATATTAGCGACGTAGACATTGCCGTAAATTAATGTCTACCAATTGGCTAGCAGCCTGCTCTCACCACACTTAGACTAGTGAAGAAGGACCTCCTCGTCACACATAAATGCAACTACAGATGCATTCAATCACTAAGACTACATAGATAATAAACTTTAGTTGGGATAGGCTAGTGAGGCAATACACAGTATATGCTGTCGGTGTTTCATGTTAGGACAGTGGTAGTGTGAGTTCACCTGACTGTGGATGCCTTCATGAATTAAGTAATTATACGATACAATAAGTAACAGCACTTATTATTACATAGTTTATAAATCATTTTTCAGTATAAAGCCGATAATAAATAGTAACAACTAAGACTTTATATATTCATGAATTTCCTACTAGGACTCTACAGGTGAGAACACTCGATATATAGTAATCCATACACACTAAATTTAGTACACTAGTGGATGAAACCATATCGAAATGACGAACATCTTTAACTTCTGAAGCTCATTTGGTTAGACATCCTACTATCCAACAATCGGTAAGACTCTGGTATGGACATAAATTTGTTATGCATCTATCTCAGTGCCATAATACTTGCTTGGCGATGCCTATATATATATATATATATATATATGTGAAACCTTGCCTTTTATTTCGTTCGCTTGATTATTTCCCGTACATCATCTCCTTTATGTGGCAGTCTGGCATACATACCGGCTCTTTAGAGCAGAAAAGTTTCCTACTATGTCCACTTGTAGACATCTTTCAAAGACCTTACTTTACATGGGGCTGTGCTGTTAGAAGAAACTTTTTGTTATGATATGGTGCTTGTCCTATTTCAGAAAGTGATCGCTGGTTATAATTTTGCTCACATAAATCATTATTCCAAAGACAGAAGAGCCGTATACCATTATCTAATCAGGTAATGACTCAACTGCAGATAGCCGACACCAAATATATCACTGGCGTAAGTATAAAACTTGGGCACTGTGGTAGAGTATAATTCCATTATAAATAAGATTTTATTTTGATAAATCGCACAGTGTTTACAGTTCATATCAGTTCATATAACTGTAAACACTGTGCGATTTATCAAAATAAAATCTTATTTATAATGGAATATCACTGGCGCTTATCAGAATGCATTACTGGGGAAAAACACTTTTAAACGAGCACATTCTTCGGTATTGATAATAAGAGATAATAGGAAGCTTCTATATAGATTATCTAATGCATGCAACAGCTGGTAGATAGGACAATTAAAGATGACGAGGACACTTATCTTGAAGAGGCATAGCATTATCTCCACTCCGCTGAGAAAAAGTTCAATGCAGTAACTTCCTCTGGGAAGTGATATTGAATTTCAGCAACTTCATTGAAGAGAGCTCTGGAGGAAATAAGGGGTGAGGATACAGTAACAGCCAACCACGGGTTTATCGAACAAACACGCCCTTGGGTGGCAACACCCAGTAGGAGGTCGATAAAACCGTTAGAAAGCTGAGGCTACTTCACTGCAGAATGTCAGGTAGCCAAAACGATGATGATACACTGGAAGCAATCAATTTAGAAGAAATAGCGCCAGAACATATATACATTCGTCCTTTACCTTCATCTTAATTACAAAATCACGTTGATTTCCACATTTTTTTCTATTTTCTAACGTTCTACATCTGTCAATGACATTTTTACTTTCTTCTCCCATTTATTATCATCATTGTACGTCGGTGGTTCGGTGGCAGAATGCTCGTCAACCCCGCGCGTAGTCAGAGTTCGATCACCTACGTACGTACTTCCAAACCGATACTATCGAGTAGTAGGTCCACAAAAACGAAACGCTGGGCGTTAAAATAACACACTACCACTAGCAAAACTTCAAAGCCGAAAGCTTGAAAAGCCTTATGTTCCACTCAGAATTCACATGTGTGCGGCAACGATTCCACCTAAATTTCACCCATTAATGTAACCACTGTTCCATACATTGTGAGCAACAGAGTTAAACCCTACTCCATTTGCCAAGGGTCAATGAAGTCAAACAGTCACCGACAGCTTTCAAATGATAAGTGTCACTCACTACCCAGTAGGTAATCGTGCGTTTGGTTGTTGAATTACATTAACCTTCACTTATTGTTTTTTTTTCATTTTAACTCAACTGTGCGTCGGTGGCACAGTGATTAGGACTCTCGCCGACCATGCACATGGTCCGAGGTTCTATCCCCTGCCGACGCACACCTGATATCTATGGTCAGCCTGCGAAATTTGGGCTACCGATATCCATGCTGAAAATTCCATACTGTTACCAAAAATACAGTGTGGAATCAAGCTGTAATCAAAAAAATTAAGTGAAAAAAAATATTACCAAAACTCCATCAATTTATTTACTGATTATAAAAGAAAAATAACCAAAACAAGAAATATCATATGTACAACACAAACAATAAAGGCACTAAGGTGCATCACAATTATAACGTAAGAAAAATATATATCACAGCTGACTGTTTTAACAAGAAATAATACTACACGAGAAAAAACTAAACAGGAAGACCCCTAGAGACTCCTTTTAATGTCCACAGACTACCTCGAAACAATGCAATCAGCCCAGTTCTACCACCAGGTACTGTAGTAATAATTTGCCATATAATTAAACAAACCTGGGAGACCAAAGCTATTGCTGCGAATACAGCACTATGCCAGACAATCACAGCATACAAACCAGCAAATAAACTTAGTAGATAACTGATTGTAAAGGGTAAACGTTCAGCTGAAAACAAGCTTTTAATATGATTCCATGGTCCCCAAAGGAATGAGAAACTTCCAACTAGTAAAATACTACCAAGTGTATGCAGTAGTACATATTTACGCATACCGAAAGGTGTTGCAATCATTGGCAGAAAAAGCATTGCTAAACACAGACAAAGAGAGGCTGCAAGCAGGCATAACAAAAATCCCATTAAACGTTGATACCGAGATAGACCTTTGAACATTAAAGGATCTGATTCAGCTTGAGAGAACCATGAAGCTAAATGACCTTGGGCTTCTATTTCACGAGACGTAGTAGGTTCACTAGAAGACTTTCTTGACTCATCTGCATTAGACGACGACTTTAAAAAACTGCGTAACGCTTCAGGTAGTAGAGTAGGCTCTCTGTCAGTCTTTTGGGTATCAACTGTTTTAGAATACAGCATAGCATATGTTGGAACAGACTACTGCATAACAGAAACAAAGCATTAAATAGCAGCATAAATATTAATGAAAATGAAATTAATATTCGTAAGAAAATTGCATTAATTTTAATGATACCAACCAACAAACATTCCAATTTAGAAGTAATCTTGTTACATTAATGACCATTAACCCCTCGAACATTAGCGTTCATACTCACTCCACATATTTTTGAAGTGTTGTAGTAGAGAAACATCAGAGAAAATGTTAAACTTCCAACGTAAATAAAAGCTCTCTAATTCATACTCCCACGTGAAGGTGGTATTTAACTTTAGCAATGGCGATTTTTAACAGTGAATGTCTTGCGAAGAGTTGTAAACAGAAGCTCTATGCTACCATAAAAGTTTTCCCCTTTAATTCGTATACTTTAGTGATAATTTCAATTAGGATCATTAAAAGGTTGAGACAGTTTATACACTCCTGCGGAAAGGTTACTACAACTTCTGCAAGCCTTAATCAATCCCGGTGGGTGCGTACTGCTGAAGAGTCCCAAACTAGGACGAAACAGCTGTCCAGTACTCCCAGGTTTTCCAATGGTTCTCTAACTAATGTCAGCTCATGATGAAATCTTGAAACCAATCAAATCCCTACAAACCAACACTTGTATATATTAAGTTTGTCGTCACCTATAAATTTGTCCAATTATCTGTTTCAGGTTGTAAGCAACTTGCAAAATTAGTAGATATATGCAGACATGATGACTGTAGACATCATGCCAACAGTGAAAACACGAATCAGCTTGCTTTCAGTGAAGAGAAATACTCCTCCTAGAACACCTCTATGGACAATAAACGGTGTCCACCAGTGTCTACAACACAACGGGCGTGGCAAAACCAGCAACGGTGATATATATATATATATATTACAGGTAAACACCATGGAAACAAATATCCGGAAAAATTCTTGAATCGGGAATACATAAAAACAGGAAGACCATGAGAGTTCCTGTCACTGCATTATATGAGTGATGTCAATAATCTTGAAGGGGGCATGACGCAACAAGGATGTACTAGCTTATTCTGTGCCTGTGAAACGTGGATTTCGAGGAAGAAACAACTCTGCCTCCTGGGTGTACATTTTTCAGCTTTACTGTTCCAACAGAGCTACTAAGATTGGGTGTTCGGCTGGAAAATTTCACTGCAAAATTCCTATGGTTATGTAATGGTCAGACTAGATTCACATAAAGCTATCTAACTACCCTCCTAGTAGATACGAAACATCAAGCTGGCATTAATTTATTTGTCATATTCGACTAAATCTGACTTATGCTTGCGAGTTTGAATTTTGAATTAGTTGTGTTATCTGAGCTAGGTGATTTAATTACGAAGCTTTCGTCGTCCTACTGGACAGCATCTTCAGCACATGTTTTAGTATAGAATTTTGCATTAACAGCAATAATTGTATTACATGAAAATATTACATGAAACTCGAACTGCTGCACTTCGGTGCCAAGTTCTATGTTGAATCCAGACAGACAGAAACCACAGGTGTATTTACAAATAATTCGTTTTATAACCTTGACCACCAAACTACATATCTTGATTTGTAAATAATGTGCAGAAATCAGTCCTTTTTTACTTATCCTTTGACCTAATTTTATTGTCAGATCACTACTTTTGTCATCATTGGTTTTTATTGTCAGTGCTATTACCTCAGTTACTTCCTTCAATCTCTATTTGTAATTGTTCTCCTGTAATTATAAACCGCTGCCAATTAATGGAATCGTTCGCTCGCCTTTCCCAATCACCTTTAAGACCATAGATTATATAATAACCCACTGTAGGGTCTCAGAACTTAACTGCGTAATTATATTATACTGCTTCGTTGTATCGTCGACCATGCACATGGTCCGGGGTTCGATCACTGGCCGACGCACTCCTTTACCTTGCTAACCCAATAATAAAAAGCTGGTAAAGAGGAAAGGTTGGGGATGAGGCTAGCAACCCCACCCTGTAAAATTAAACACTGCTACAGAAACTTCAAGCCACTAGCCTGAGGCCCTATTTTCCACTGGGAACGTGAAGGAAGTAAAAAAAAACTTTGTTGTATGATTTTCGTGATTCTAATGATTATCCCTCGCATCTCTTATATTTCAAAACTGATACAATTTCACCAGCCTACGTATCACCACTTTACGGGAATAGTTTAGATACATCAGTCGAAAAAGCATAAATCTTTGTGTTGCATGTAATGGAATAAATTTCTCCATAAACTTTGTTGTTTTCCAAAAAAAGGAGACGCTGATGGAGAATTATCGCCTTAGCTAATAAAAATTAGTGAATATTGTCTGTCTGTCTGTCTCTGTCTGTTTTCGACATAGAGCTTTGCACATACGTGCGGCAGTTTAAGTCGCCACACTCCATGTAGCACACAAAGTAAGAGAAGAAAGTACAAGAAATGCATAATAGAGACAGTAAACAGAGGTGTGAGACAAAGGAATAGTAGTAACGAAGAACAACATAGTTTAGTTGGAAATCATAAGTCACAGGGAGTGGATGCATCTGCGCCACTGAGAACGATTTTGAGCCATGTCACCAATTGTTTCCAACCATTTGTTTTTACCGTCCCGAGGACCCCAACCAGAAAGTCTACACCTTCTTACATGGCTTAGACTAACTGTTGTAGATTTCATTAACTGGTGCCATGTTTTTGTTTGACCTCCACTAGTTCTTTTCCAGCCTGACCCTGTATCCGCTAACATTGCTCGTCGAGGAAGGCGATGACTAGGCATACGTAACGTGTCCTAACCATCTCAGTCTTTGTAACTTCACAACTTCTTCGATTGATTTCCCCTGTTTACCTAGACCTCGACGCCTAACCTCAATATTGCTCACCTTATTATACCACTTCACACGGGAGATAGAACGCAGGCACCTATGATCAAAGACAGCTAATCTTTTCATGTCTTCCACTCTCAGTGGCCAGGTCTCACAGCCATAAAGGAGGACGGAGCGAACTGATGAGCAGTACACCCGCCCTTTGGTCGATAGTCTACGCCAGAGACGGCGTAAACTGGCAAATGCGAAACGAGCCCCCTGTATCCGTGCCGAGATTTCGTCAGAGATCAACCCGTTGGGGTTGATGATACTTCCCAAATAAGTGAAGCGGTCAACATGCTCTACCACATCACCCCCTATTTCTAATCTAGGGGTCGCTGCAGTCCAGTCTTGTAAAATCGTCTTGCATTTGGCGGGAGCGAATCTCATGCCAAACATTCGTAGATTGCTGCTCAAGGTGTTCAGAAGACTCTGCATTTTGTCAGCGTCTTAGCCTAGAAGGACTATATCGTCTGCATATTCTAAGTCAACGAGATTATTCCCTGGTAGCAAGTCAATCCCTGAGTCGCTGAAGTCACTTAGGGTTAAGTCCATTAGTACATCTATGATGAAATTGAATAGAAATGGGGATAATGGGCATCCTTGACGGACACAACTAGTCGTCACCAGTTCATATGACAACTCGCCGTAAGCCCTCACCTGGCCGTATGAGTACGAGTAGAGTGCCTTAATCAGTGGAATGTATTTTCTCGGCATTCCCTTTACAGCCAGGCATCTCCAGAGAACCTCTCGGTCGATAGAATCGAATGCCGCCTTTAGGTCAAGGAATATAGTGATTATTGGGCGCCAGTAAGAATGCCTATGTTCTAGAATCTGTCGAAGGGTGAAGATATGATCAATACACCCTCTTCCTGACCTAAAGCCTGCCTGGCTCTCTCGTGTTTGTGCCTCCCGAGCACCACAGTCTACGCATGATTATTGAGCCTGACTTTAGATACTATATTAGTCAAGCTCATTCCTCTGTGATTATCACAGGAAGACTTGTCCCCCTTCTTGTATATGGGGATAATCAGTGACTTACACCAACCCGATGGGACTTCTGATTCCCAGACGCTGCCTAGAACCTCAGTTAATGCAGACAGTAAACTGTCTCCACCGTACTTAAATACCTCTGGAGTCATTCCATCAGGTCCCGCTGCTTCGCCTAGTTTCAGATTGGTGACAGCTTTAGAAACCTAGGTTAGGGAAGGAGGACCTGTGTCTATATCCCATCCGGGTGTGTGCTGGATGGCGGGGAGGTTCAGTGTGGCTGTAGGCAGGTTAAATTGTTCCTCAGTGTTCTTTTCAACGTTTGAGGCATCTGTCCTGAGAGCTAATTAAGGAGCCATTTTTCTCAGAAATAGTCTCACTTATGATTTGCCTTCTCCCAACCGTTTCCCTGATGAGTCTAAAGAGTTGCCTAGTGTTGCCGATCGCCGATGCTTTTTCCATCTCTTTCGCCTTTGTCAGCCACCGCTGTTCACGGTCTTTGCGGAGACTTTTCGTAAGTTTCCTTTTGTGTAGCTTTCGCTCCTCGTTGAATTCGGAGCTCGCCGGAATAAATCTTCTGGCATCAATCAGTTCGGATGAGGCGGTAGAGATCCAATGGTTTTTACTCACCTTTGGGTTTGCCTTATTCACAGCTTTTACAGCTGTATCTATGGTTGTCTGAATATTCTTCCAAGCTTCTTCAGGGTGAGCACAGCTGTCGAACTCAGATATGTGTTTAGCTAGTTCTTCCTCAAATAGGGATTTAGTTTCCTGATTGAGCTGGGGACGTGATGGGTTTACCGCCAGCTGTTTCCTACGTCCGTTCAGCCGCAAGCACACCCGAGCGCGGACCAGGGTGAATATTGTGCTAGCAATGCAAACGATTTCTATTTACACTAGATTTCATGATGAAAGAAACGATGATCCAAAGAGTGAAACAAAGACAATACAGTACTGAGTAATGCCACATAGTGAAACACTCGCCTCTATGTTTCTTTTAACTATTCCCACATATAGTGACAGTCGAGTCATTGCAGTCTATTTCTGTGGAGCTAATTTTTTAACCCTATGATGGTGCTCCCACGCTACACTTTCTCAGAGTCACAGAAAAATAATTTCACAAGTATCACAGCATACGGAATCTTAATAAGTCGTCCACTAGAAAAATACGGAGTAAAATATCTCACTGATGAGAAAGAATATTGTACAGAAGTAAAAAAAAACATAATTTAGGCGGCGAAATGTTAAAATGAACACTTCTCATTCACTACCTTCTGGAAAACACCTAGGAACCCATCATATAATAATCGTATTTAAAGATGAGAGTGAATAGAACTCAGAGCAGGTATTTTATTACAGGGAAACTGTTCATGGAAAAAAACAGCTTTGCAATGTCAAGTGACATTTCGACACAATAAATGCTCCAGGCATTTAGGCCGTTTTTCTCCAGCCCTACCTTATAGTGTTTTGTAGCTTACATGAATATACTTCCCACCTGAAGACCTGAAACTTCAATATTTACCTACCAAATCTTTCGATACTGTTGCGGTGAAATAATCCATAGCGCTAGCATTGAATTCTTTCCGAAGGTGATATGAAATCCATGCCCTAGAGTTACCACAGATTATATTATATCTACACTTCTTATAACATTCACTTTAAGACAAAAGGTAGCGAAAAAACTCTGTTACAGATATAATAGTTTGGGGTGACATTTGGCCCAACTGGACAGTTCAAAATGTTTCCTCACTGGCCGTTGCTGTTGCATACACAACAGGTGAGAAAAATATTTCCCCTGAAAGTAGATACGAAATGATAATTAGTTTAGCTGCGAAGGCACTATGACCTCGTAAAATTCGGTCAAAGCAAGTCGGTAAATAATTCTGTATTCATGAAATAAGAATTCCATAAAGTGTAATGACATTAACTAGGATATCTAGTTTGTATTGGAGGGAAGTTAAAACATAGCAACCACCCGCGTCGAGAACTTCAGAAACAAATTAGTTACGGCCGTTATAACTTTGAGAATACCTGAGTTCTGATTAGTGTGTGAGTAATGAAGTTACTGCGTGTATACGAAGAGGAAGCTTGATAGGATAACTGGTCTTTTGGGAGGATTAGGAGAACGACTAAAGTATAGCAATCCAAATGATTTTGAAACGCTGCAGAAATATTTAAATAATAAATTTTATCCTGTTGGGTTGGACGAGCACTGATTCTACAAAATGAGTATAGGGGCATTCGCAAGACACTAATCTGTCTAGAATAGGCCACGAAATAATATGGTACATAAATGCTTCCACGATCTCACATGCAATAAAAGTATTCGCATTATTACTAAGCATCCGACGACAAACCGGGAGAGAGTTCTAGTACAATCGAAAAACTGTCATTCCGTATAACTATTTTGTCCTACATAGCTTTTCATCCAAATAATTCCTTTGAGGCAAAACAATGATTTTGCCGGTCGTTCGAATCTGTTGTTACACTTCAGTCTACTCAGACTGAAGTTTCGAGGTAGAAAAATAGATTAGCCGTCATTAAAGTATCCTGTCTAATACCCTTGCATTTTTCAGTGTTCTCCGCAAATACAGTTTGTCTTACCTGGCTTTACTACTCTGATGTGATTGCGCGTTTAAACGTCAGTGGTGAGTCCGTCTCCTTGAGTCCCTATAGGGACCTTATAATTTGCTACTAGCAACGCACCACTTGCATTTAGCGCTACTGACCGGAGTGGTTGAACGTACAATGTCCACATGTTCGTCCTCAGTTCATACTGCACTGATGATATGTTTATTTACCCCCCAACAACCTGATGCCAGTGAGCGATTTAATGACATATATCCAGATACACCAGCTGGTAGCACTCTAAAAAACAGATTCCTTAAAGCTTCATGGAAATTGATTGATATCTTAAAGTCAACAAAAAGATTATTCGGCACGGATTTGCCAATATATCACAATCCACGAATGCATTCACAATCTTATTCATATCGTGACGTAAATCTTTATAACACTGGGTGACCTAAATTTCTCCATTTCTAATTGTTCCATTCAGCTATTCATTTGGATCGCTGTATGAACTCAAAGTCATTTTTCATTCGATGTCGCGGTAATTCTGCGAATTTTTCAATGGATTTGGTAGGACAGTATCTTCCTACAGATTGCACAACACTCCATCACATGATACAGTCAATAGATATTTCCCTTTAAGATTCCGTATCAGGAGGAGACAGTTTGCAACTACGTGTGCTGAGGATTCTGTTCTATCTTTTAAAAGTTGCGCAGAGTGAAGCTAATGTAATTATTATCGAATGACAAATGTGTTGCTACATATCGATGAAACAATTGAAAGTCCTGTGGAATAGACTACCAGATAATGTGCGCGATGAAAGCACACTTCCAGGGTTCATCTCCTCAGTCACCAGACTACTCAAAAATGACGATGCACTTCTACGTTTGACTCTTACATCCTCTTTTTCACCCTACATAGATATTTTAAGTTCTTTAAACGTGTAGTTATAACGAACTACAATTATAAATTTTAATATTATTGGAACTAGATTATGAACATTTCAACACAGGACAGTAATATTAGTTCACACATATTATAAAAGTTAGCATAACGGGACTAGTTAGTTAGTGCACAAAAATAACCATAGTTACTAAACAGAATATATACGTACATATTTATTAATCACTCCTTTAAGACTCCTCTTACTTTCTTTTGCGTTGCTGTTGCTTGTCTTCTTTTTCTCTCACCATTTTAGCTTCCATTTGACATTTTTAATGAGAATAAAGAATGTGGATATTTGACCATTTACAATAACAAATGATCTGAACACATTATTGGTCCCATATACTACAATTCCTTCGTGAATTACATATTACCTTCCCCCACGACGCAACCCGGATTGCAGTTGTGGAATATACTCTAATACCAATGGAAAAGTATTAATTTATAATACAACGCCGCGATTCTTTCTTTTCTTGGAAACACCCATGTACAAGAAAATGTGTACTATCATTAATATTATTCTACAATTCACTAGTGATCCAATATCCAATATCGTTTTTAAGAGCTGGTATAAACCAATTTGATTTCTTCGTGCTCGCTTCTTGATTTTAGGTTTGGATTCCTGATCTTCGGTAAACTTCTGCGTAGCTCGTCCCGCCACTCGACTGTCGTAGCTTTGGTTGACTCCAAAGGGAGTAGTGCTGGGATTAATTATATGTGGTTTGTAGTATGTGGTATGTTAAGACTGTTACTACTGCGAACGGAGTTGATCCTTTCGCCAGTTAGCCCTCCGGTATCGTCGACAAGAGAAAAGAGATAATAATAATAATTTTTGCTTTATTCCAAAAACAGTACTCATGATACAGCAAGGAATTTTCAGCATTCAGTACAATATTGCATCTAATTTACTCAAAAACGACAAAAAAAATTAAAAATACACATTACATAATAGTAATAAAACGATTGTTATAGCAGCTACGTAGCAAAATACTGTGTGCCATACGGAGAAAAATATGCATAAAGTACAAAATTGTAGTAATAATAGTAATACCAACTAAAATAAAATAGCAGAGTAACGATTTAAACGATAGAAAGTGTGACACCATAAAATACAGAAAGATGAACGATGAAAGGGTCGATTCACTGTGCTAATTACATAGTAACTTGTGTGTTTCACGTCTAACAGAGTCTTCGTCACATAAAGTACGGGCTAAATAGGGTATTGTAGAATTTCTATACTTAGTGGTACGAGCATATAACTTTTTATATTGACTTCTCGTCCTACCTGATGAGATACAAGGGGACAGGTGTGAATAAAGGGGGTGCAGAGGGTCTGATATTATAGCCTTTGCCCATTTCGTACAGGAATTTATATGCCTCTCGACTATAGTATTAGCGAGCTCATGCAGTGGCAGACCACAAGCTCTACTCACAGCATTTAATACTCTTCGTAATATGATATAATCTTTTTTGAGCAGCCCAGGAAAGATTAATGGAGAGCAGTAGAGTACAATAGGTAAAATACAGGAGTTTAAAAATTGCAAAACTAAAGGTTGGTTGATACCTGATTGTCTTAACTTTTTAATGTAGAAGGTAAGACGAAACATTTTCTTAGAGATAGATAAGATATGGGATGACCATGAAAGGTCAGAGGAAAAAACTAATCCAAGGTATTTAATGCTTGATTTGGTTTCAATTTCCGTGCCATCTATGCTACAGGGATCATGCGAGTTAACTAGTTCAAGTAAGTCACGTCGATGCTTGAAAGTAAAGTCAAGTGCCTGACATTTGGAAGGATTTAATATAAGACCATTTGACTTGGACCAGTTGTTGATGTCCAACAGAAAGCTATTAAGTTTGGAGCTGTCAGACTCGGAAGTGATAGGCAGTGATACAGTCAGATCATCTGCATATTTGACAAAGTTAGTTTCGTTTGAATGAGGCAGGTCATGTAGGAAGAAAGAAAAAAGAAAAGGAGAGAGGACAGCACCTTGTGGAACACCGGATTTTGTAAGCGAGGTAGAAGAAGATTTGCCGTTATATACAGTATACTGCATTCTATCAGAAAAATAGGAATGCAACCAACTCTTAGCCCAGGATCCTGTTTGTGTCAACGATAGCTTATTTAATAAAAGGCCCCTAGGTACAGAGTCAAAAGCAGATGTGTAGTCTAAGAAAGCACTACGAACATATTTAGCACCTTTGTCTAAACAAGAGACAACATTGTGATATAAGACAACCGCAGCATCCAAGGTACTTCTACCATGTTTGTATGCAAATTGTTTAGGATCATTAAAAGGTTTCAAAGCGGGTTCAAGACGAAGTAAAAGTAATTTTTCCATCAATTTTAAAAAGGGGGAAGTAATTGCAATAGGCCGAAATTTAATATCAGAACCAGAAGATGGTTTTGGTATAGGGATAATTTTAATGTTTTTCCATGCAAAAGGTAGAACGTTACCGGAAAAAGAAGCATTAAAAATGTTAGTAAGAGGATAACACAAAATATCAGCACAATTCCTGAGGACAATGGCAGGTATGCCGTCAGGACCAAGGCTTTGAGAAGGCTTAAGAGACCGGAGACATTTAAGCACATCAAGGGTATTAAAACCACTAAAGTTATTGTCAATATGATTTGTATCATTTGGAAGGGTATCAACAGAAGAGCGTATGAAAATTTATTAAGAGTGTCAACATTAAGAGATGGAACAGAAATACATCGCTTACCGTTAGTAATTTCTTTGAAAAGTTTCCATAAATTAGAAGGGGTTTTACATGACAAAAATCTTTGATTATATAAAACATTTAGTCTTTTCATTTCCAGTTTTATCAGAATGTTTAACTTTTTTACACCAGGCTTATCATTTGTTTTGAACAACAGTTCTTTATTTCTACGTAGCTTTTTGAGATATGGCGAAGATAAGCGATCAAATCGAATGAATAATGTTTCTTTAGGACAACATATTTCGAAACAGAATTTAAGATAATCGGTAGTGTTTGTGATTGTTTCATCTAATGTTTGTTCTGTAAATAAGTCCCAGTTAGTGTCTTTCAACATGCATCTGAGCTTGTCTAGGTTGTCTTTTGAGTAGCATCTCCGTTGAACTTTACCTTTGTGTGATTTGGAATATATTTTAGGCAGTACACGTATGATGCAGTGGTCAGAGTTAAGTAAAGGAGCACGTTTGCGAGCTTCATATATACCAACATCATTGATGAATACTAGATCCAGTTTTTTACCAAGACGGGTGGCAAAGTTAATAATATTGTCATGACCAAGTGATATAAGGAAGGAGCAATCGCTAACATTGAAGTCGCCAGTTACTATTGATAAAGAGTTCTCGAAACAAGCTGCAGCAAAAGCGGTGAATTCATCGGCGAACATAGATAAATCCAATATGGTACAGCCAGGAGAGACATAAACATTAGAAATATAAATGAATTTGTATTTTGAAATGTGTTTCGGGCGACATCTCACAGTGATGCAATCAATGTAGTCATTCGAGAATTTGAAACAAACTTTGTTAGAAATGGACCATTTTGAGTGAATAAAAGTTGCAACACCTCCGCCACATTTTTTCTTGGAACAAACACGGTCTTGTCGGAAAACATTAAAGTTGTTTAGAGACACAATATTGTCATCGTATGAGTCATGGAGCCAGGTTTCTTGTTGAGTGACAATACCAGTATTGTGGTAGGTACTAGAAGACAACAGAGACTGAAAATCCAGAATTTTATTAGGCAGGGACCGGCAGTTGGTACTAATGATAACTGGAACAGTGGTGTGATATATGGGTGTAGATTTTAAGGCACGCTGCCAACCTCCATGGTGCTTTTTCTTGAGTTTATTGCAAATATGAAAGTTTTTGGGTTTAAAACGTTTTATAAATTCCCGGGAGTGGATAGTACGATTAGAATGCACAATGTGATATGTAAATACCAATAAAGTACGAGTAAATAGATGCAAAGTGTACATGGAATGTGGTAGCCCAAAAATGTTCAAACAGGCCACCAAGGTCATTTGATGTTCTATTAATAATAATAGTGCCAATAATATGTATAACTAGTGAAGTTCAGACTAACAGGCAGAAACGGAAATAGGAAAGCGTAACAACAGTCAGATGATTAAATTTGAAGAACAATATATACATATATCGTTAATAGTAATATTAATAAGTTGTCAGGAGAGTAAGACGGGAGAGAATGCAAAGAAGTAAAACGACGAGTTTAATTGTCTACCCCTG